GATTCAAAGTATCCAATAACGAAGCAGAATACAAGGCATGTATCGCTGGTTTGGAAGCCGCCCTGGAACTAGGGGCAAAAAGGTTGGACGTCATCGGGGATTCAAACCTAGTTGTGTCTCAAGCAAAAGGAGACTGGAAAGTTAAAGAAGAAAAGATGAAGATCTATCATCAAACCCTGGATGTTCTGATTCCTAAGAAGCTAACTTTCACACATCTACTAAGAGAGAACAACAGGTTTGCTGACGCCTTATCAACTCTATCTTCTATGATAGATATCCCATTTGGAGTCCGAATGCGTCCGATCATCATCGAACAAAGATATACGCCAGCCTACGAGACTTTCGCCGCAATAAATGAATCACGAGATTAAAACCCTTGGTTATACGACATCTGGAACTTCTTGGAAAAGGAGGTTTATCCACCAGGGGCAAATGCCAAAGATAAGTGGGCAATACAGCGGATGGCCATTCAATTTATCATTTGTGGAGGTAAACTGTACAAGAGAGGTCATCTGGGAATGCACAAGTTGTGTGTCAAAGCAAAGGAGTCAAAGTGCCTAATGGATGCCATCCGTAGGGGAGAATGTAGAGCGCACATGAACGGAGTAATGTTAGTCCGAAAAATTCTCAGGCAAGGTTACTACTGGTCTACTATGGAAGAGGATTGTATTGGTTTTGTTTGGCGATGCCACAAATGCCAAATTCATGCTAATCACATGAACATCCCGCCATCGACGTTGTACAACATGACTTCACCATGGTCTTCCTTAGTCTGGGAAATCGATGTCATCGGCGCAGTCACACCGAAAGCGTCAAATGGGCAAAAATACATTCTGGTGGCAATTGATTACTTTACAAAGTGGGTGGAAGCTCAAACTTACACAATGTTGAAAGTAGCGCACGTGGCTAAGTGCATCCGAAACAACATCATTTGTCGATATGGAGTCGCAAACAAGATTATTTCAGATAATGGTTCCCACTTCAAGAAAGAAGTGATAGACTTGTTGGAGAATTACAATGTGGCTTTTCATAAGTCATCCACATACTGGCCGCAAACCAACAGAGCTGTTAAGGCCGCTAACAAGAACATCAAGCATATTTTGCAAAAGATGGTTAAGACCTACAGGGACTAGCTAGAAAAATTGCTGTTTGCACTCTGGGCTATAGAACTTCAATTTGGATGTCTACAGGGGCAACTCCTTACTCTCTTGTCTATGGGATGGAAGCTGTTCTGCCAATCGCAATAGAAGTCACGTTGCTACGAGTTATGGCTGAGTGTCAAATAGCAGAAGCGGACTAGCAACAGAGCAAGTTCGAAGAATTGATGCTATTTGATGAGAGAAGGCTAAAAGCATTGTACCATGTTTAGGCTTATCAATACGGGATTGCCAGGGCTTTTAACAAAAAAGTTAAGTCCCGGAATCTCAAGAAAGGAGATTTGGTGCTGAAAGACAATCGAGCCCCCATCCATAACCCTAGGGGCAAGTTTAGACTAGGGGTGAGCATGGTCCGGATTGGACTGGATTGAAGTAAAACCAGGACCAATCCGTTATCTACGGATCCTAAAAAATTGGAACCAATCCAATCCGTTTAAATCGTGGAACCAATCCGAACCAATCCATTTAAACACGGATTGGATCGGTTTAGGACCACGGATTTACATAATTAAATAACAAAAAAATATATATAACACTTTAATTTCATAAAAATATAAATATAGCACCATATTAGTTTCACAATAGCAACATGTCTTTTCATAATAGCGACAAATTGTTCAAGAATTTAAACAACCATAAGAAAACTAGTTCCACCATAAGTATTTAGACCATTACAAATTAACACTAAAAACTAGCAAACAAAAGTAATAAAAGAAGATACTATGTAAGTTTAGGTTTGGATTTAAATTTTATATGAAATCAAAGAAGTTACTATGCAGGAGGGTGTATAATAAAAATATAAACTATTTGTATACGGTCCGGATCGGTTCCAATCCGGAACCGTGGGGTTCAATCCGGAACCAATCCGTGAATTACGGATTTTTAATTTTTCAATCTGGAACCGAACCACGAATTCAAAAAACCAATCCAAACCTACTGGATTGGACTGGACTGAATCGGATTACGGATTTCACGGATTCCTTGCTCAGCCCTAGTTTAGACCCGATTGGACTGGTCCTTACGTCATCAAAACTATCTAGTTAGGTGGAGCTGTTATTCTCATAGACCTAGATGGCCTAAAATTCTCCCAACCGATCAACATGAACAAGTTGAAGAAATACTATCCTTAAGAGGCTCGCTAGGTCGAAAACCCAGAAGGGCGACCTAGGCAAAAGTTAGAGCACAAAAAATTTAAAATAAATAAAAATTGAGCTCGCAAGGTTGAAAACCCTAAAGGGCGGCCTTGGCAAAAATTAGAGTGCAAAAAAAGAGCGTTAATACTCGAGTGAACCCAAACCGAACTACGTAAGGCCTGATTCTCATCTTCAGGATACGTAGGCAACTTCATCCTAAAGTTTGGCCATAAACACCTGTGATTCAACTATCCTGCCCATGTGTTTGATCAGGTCATCTTTGTTTGTTCTTTATCTGAAAGTTTGGTTGGGATCCTTACTCTGAGAGAAAAGCTAGTTACAGTACTGAGCAATGCTATTCAGTCAAGGGGCAATTTGTGATCTATGGATTTGAGGTTGTACATCTCAAGGATAGATTCTATGTGTGTCAAGTAGTGATCCTTATCGAAAATGGTTTTTAAAAGTTTTGATAAAATTTTATTTTTGCTCAAATTTTACCTTTTACAAGTTAGACCATTTTTGGACCAAAAGGAAAGATTTCAGTGCTCCTAACTTTAATTTCATTGATTTCAATACAAAGTTCTCCAACTCTCGATACAAATCAAAATTGCTTTTATTACATTCATAAAACTTGAAAAGTAAGATCAAAGCAATAAACTAGGAGCATAGATGAGTCCGGTGCTCCTGCGTCCCTCGCTTGTGCTTGTGGAAGCTTTTGATGCTAAAGTGGGCCCGGATTGTGCGTCATCATCGAGCCAAGACAAACACTCGCGAGAAAGGGCACAACTGAAACTAGAGGCAGGGGCCAGAAGCTCTCTTGTCCTCCAAGTAGTGAGGTACCTAGTCAAATGTGAACCTCGAATGGGGAACGAAGCTAGGTACTCTATCTCCTCCTCTGGGATCATGTCCAAATTGGCACCTGAATCAGAACGGAAAATAGAATACACAGTGTGTCAGGCCAATCAACTAAATGCCAGGTTGCCGAGTTATGCTGTAGCTCATTTCAGTCATATTAAGCTAGGGGCAATGCCAAGCAATGTCAGCAGCAGACCTGTTGCACATCTAATGGCACCATCCCTTATTCGGGAAATCCATTAGATGTTGGTAGAAAAAGTATGCTCGAGCTCAGTATGCAGGGCAAGAGTCCACTACCTTCAGCTTGTACATTAGCCACACCTGGGAGGGATGAAAGAAAAGAGAGATTAACTAATAGAGAGATGTACGTTGAGAGAAAAGTGAGAAAAGAGCTTTGAGAGAAAAGCAGAGCATGAGTGTCGAGAGATGTGAGAAACACATATTAGAAAGGGTAGGAAGCATTACCTGAAGGAGTAGTGGACTCCCTGCGAATTTGGTGGTCTCTCGCCGATGGAAGGCGTCTAAGCCTATGAACAGCACCAAGCCAATACAACTCTTGCCCTCTTTTAGACCTTGCACCACTTCAATTAGCCAAATGCTAGACCCTCCAAATCTAGGAGCAAGAAGAAAATGTGCTAGCATACACAAACAAAGGGTGTGTTGTTGAAAACCCCGCCAAAGAAGATTACTTTGGTCGCTGACCTCAGAAAATCGACGAATCAAACTAGGAATGTCCAGCTCTCCATTGTGGACCAAGGATTGAGCATCATATGGAGTAAGCTTGCACATCCATCCCAAAGCTTGGATACGGGGCTGAGGTATGATTTTCTCATCGCACTGGGATTCCATTAGTGCCTCAAATTCTTCGATTGTCGGGCATATCTCTTGTCCCCAGAAGCTGAAGACATGTGTAATTGGGTTCCAACGTGTAGCCGCAACATGAAGGAACAGAAAACAAAGCGGGGAACAACTCAACGGGAAAAGTGCATTTATACCGAAACCCCAAAAATTCACCTTTTCTGAGCCATCTAAAGTTGTAATCCAATTCGAGAGTTTTTTGGCGAAAAAAGGCTCAATTTGTGAAGAATTTGCAACTGAAATGAAGAAACTACGAAGTTCAACATTTTGTAGAAGACAAGGCAGTGAGTGGAAGCTAGGTGTCAACACTTTAGAGGTCCTGCACATTGATGGTTGGCATCTGGCCAGCAGGTAGCCGACAATCTGCATTGATGGCCGGCAAGATGCATTGATGGCCGGCAGCCCACCTCTCATGGCTGGCATGTGGCCGATAATCCCTTTTTTTGTGGTCGGCAGTCTCTCACTTTGACCGGTTGTTCACCTTTGTGCTGAACAGTGCTAGAAGCATGTGTTTTGTTATGCTTTTAGTTTGCTTTAAGGTCTTGTTTTGAGTCCTTTCGGCTTTAGCAAGTTTGTTATTTTTGTTTGTATTTTTTTGTTGCGTTGTTTTGTTTATCGAGTTGTATGTTGTTCTGTTTGTCGAGTTGTTGTCGTTTTGTTTATCAAGTTGTTGTTTTGTTGTTCATTGAGTTGTATTTTGCTTTTTATTTCAGCTATTTGTCAGTTCATTACCCGATTAAGAACGTTGTGCCAATACAAGTGTTCAATTTTCATTATCAAATTCAATCTCATTTCCATGCTAAGTGGTGCTTATGATGCAAAATACAACACTTTTTCATAAAAATTGGTTTTCGTTCCAATCATGGTTATTTTTACAAAATTGCAGTACAAGTTTTTAAAGCAAATAAAACATGTCTGAAGCTATACATGTGCTAAAACTATAAGAGAAAAGAAACTAAGCAAAAATACAACAAAAAAAAAAAATCAGCGCTGGTCGCCTTAGGCTCGAGAAGCCCTTTTCGTCCTCTTCCTCGGAGGAGAGGACTCTGGGGCACTGTCTCCGTCAGCACCACTATCTGAATCTCCCTCTAAACCAGAGTCTGAGCCGGAACTATCTCTGCTCTCTGCTCCAGAGCCCTCCTCAACATCATCGCCTCCGCTCTTGGAACCCGAGCCAGCGTCATCACCCCCACTCTCAGATGACTCTAACTGCTGACTCGCTGCCTCCTCAGAGTCGCTCGTCTCAACAACATCATCACTCAAAATAGGCTCTGAAGGACCATTCTCAGCTCGGGCGCCCTTAGCTCTGCCTTGACCGCGTACTGGAGCCTGTCTCTCTCTCCTCCCTGCTGCCAGAGGAGGTACTGCTGGTATAGGTGCTGCAACTACCGCTGGTGCCACTGGCATGGGTGAAATCTGAAAAGGTAGTTGTCACATATCAGTTACAGTATGCGTATCAGATGCAAGCATAGTATGTAGAATAAGTGTATGTAGAAATCAGATGTAGCATATGAATACAGTGTATAAATGCAGTGTGTGAATATAGTGTGTAATTGTAGTGTGTCAAATACGATTTTAGTTGGAATGTCAGTGTCAGTGTGTCAGTGGAAATTTGATACCTAGAATGTAAAACTGAAGAACTTACTGGGATACTGTGGAGGCCGAACAGTGTCTCCCTCCTCTGTACAATCCCCATTAGTGACGCTATTAGCTCGAGGGCGCCTCCTATGTACTCAATGGCCGCTTGTAAATGCAATTTGAATGATTAGTATCTGCAAATGAATATATCTAAAATGAAACATGTAGTGCAAGTGCTAAAGTGTGGTTCATACCAGAGTCAGGCCTCGGACCCCGACAAGCTCATGACCAGCCGTTGCGAGCTCAATTGGGACCTGGTAGGCATCCCTGGTGCATCGCCAGCAAGTCAACATAATGGGAAGCTTTGGCCAATCAGCCCTCTGCCCCGCTTGGGAAACCCCTCGGCCACGGGCCCTACTCACTCGAGTCAATCTGAGCCTCACTCTCGCGAGAGGAGCTATTGCCTCCTCAGCTCCATGAACACTGGTTAGGGACGGCATCAAGTGTGTCTGGATGAAAGCTGCATAGTCGCCCTTCGCTTGCAAGAAGTCGGCATCTAGGCCCACCATGAACTGGATGACCTCCTCAATAGATAGGCTCTCTGTGGACCGCATGGACTCTGGTGGAGCCATCGGGACGATAGGGTCGGGCAGACCTATAATCTGGCGCATGAAGCACTCACCCAAGAACCAAGCCTGGCAAACTGGGCCCTCGAGTAGAATACGGTAGCGGGAAATGTCCCAAGCTCTAGCAAACTGGTCCCGAACCCTTGCTGGCATCAAGGCCCATGGATGCCACGTGATCTGCAATCAGAAGTTGTACAGATTATTAATTGCTGTCAGTTGCTATATATGTGAAGCAGAACAGTTTCAAAGAAAAAATGACTGTGTTTTGGATTACCTCATCGGTCGCTACCGTGTCAAAATACTGGCAGAAGAATGTGAACGGCTCATGGGTCCTACGGCGGAGCTGACTGTCATATATCCGTGAATAGGGAACTGTCAATAGAAGCTCCTCTACAAGCTCCGGAGCGAGAGTCGGAAAGTATGCGTATACCCATAGTTGCAGGAAAAATGTAGTGGTATGTAATCAATACAATATCGAGTAGATGCAGAAAGTGCAAAACAAAAAGCACAATGTATGAACAGTTTTTTAGCAGATACAGAAATGCAAAGCAAAAAGCATGTATTGAAATAGATGTAAAGCAGAAAATATAAAGAAACTGTAAAGTACTCAAAGGAAGTTGAGATGTGTACCTCCCAGGCTCGCCAGTAGCCTCCAATCAAGTCTCCCTACAGACGAGGGGTAGAGCTCATGTATCCGTATAGCGTGATGAGGCCGGCTCCACCCGAGTCATAAAAACGAACCCGAGGAAGGGTCACCGAGACACTCAACAAATGCAGGCCAACGGTGTTCCACCTGTTCGAAAACAAGGTGGTACCGAAGACGAACATCAGGAAGCCCCTGGCATACTGCTTGATCGCCTCTATCGTCTCGGGCTTGGTCCCTCTGAATCGCTCAGTGAACCAAGTGTATCTGACCATTCCTGTTTGGTATATGGGTGGGTATGACCCCAGCAACTCGAACCAGGCTGCCTCCCACTCCTCCATATCTATATCAAGAGGGATCGGATCGCCCTCTACGTCTAAGCAGGTGATCATGGCAAAGTCGTAAGGAGTCATCGTCATCTCTCCTGCGGTGGAAAAGTGGAAGGAGTTGGTGGTATCCCACCACCTCTCCACGACTGCTCCTAGGAGAGGAAGACTCGCGGTGACCCGAGTCAAGCCAAAGCAAAAGAGGCCAAAGCCTGCCTTGTCAATGATGTCGCAAACTCCAGCAGGAAGCTCATCATGCCAATCTCGAGCGGTCGTAGCACCGTAGCCTCTGAAGGCACGAGACTAGTACATGAAATACAATCAGATGAAGGGAGTGCATGAAACGCAATCAGATGAAGGTAGTGCATGAAATGGAATCAGATGAAGGCAGTGCATAGTTAGATACAAGGCAGTGTATGAAATATAGTCAGGTGAATCCGATACAAGGCAATGCAGGAATTACAAATAATGAAAGGCAAAATACATGAAAATAGAGGTCCTACCTCAACGACAATGGTCAACAAGTGAGAATCCGGCTCCTTTAGCAAAAGGTCCTCCGGTGCGCCGCGAGCAAACTCTGTGAAGCGTCTGATGCCTCCGGAAGTAGGCAATATGTGTGTCTGTGGGTGATATCTCTCCGGATCGAAAGGTCGTACCCTCAGCGGTAACGGCTCTGGCTCTGGCTTGGCCTCAGGCTCGAACTCTACCTCTAGGTCGGCTATTGGCTCTACTACCTCAAGAATAGGTGGAACTACAAGGGGAAGCTCGAAAGGAGCCCTACCATCAGGAATCTCATTCACCATCTGAAAATAGGTGTGAAATAGGTGAAAAATGAAGAAAAAGGGTAAAGTTGAAAAATGTCAACCCTAAAAGAGAGAAAATGGAGGAAAAAGTCAAAGCCGGGAAAAGTGCACTGTACTCGAAAGAAGCTCGAGGGGAACAAGTCTAGAATGGTGGAAATGAGGAAAAAAGCACCGAAATCAAATTTTGATCGGTTCAAAGTGAAGGAAATAAATAGGGCAATCAAATTTGTGTGGGGCATTGGAAAACGTGTAGAAAGTGTAAATCTAGAGAGAATGAGTGTCTAGAGAGAGGGGGGAAGATTTTGGACTTGGGTGAGTGAGGAAATGAGCCCTAGTGGCTCATATTTAAAGACCCAAACCAGAATGACCAAAAAACCCTCGATCTGCCATCAATGGCCAACACCTAGCCGACGACCTTCCCTTGTGGCCGGCAGGTGGCCAGCGGCTTCCCTTGGGGTTCTAATGAAGTATTGTGTCCTTGGTTTTCAAGAATTGAAGGGATTGTTCACTGTTTGGTTCAGAATGTCTCTACGGAAGTTCAAAACTGAGTTTTCAGTGCGCGATGTTCGTCACTTGTCAACATGAACGAGGTGTATCCTTTTAAACATATTGTAACTCTTCTGAGAGGTGAATCAGAAGTTGTTACGGAGTTTGTTTTCGTCAAATCATGCTTTGGTATCTTGCATAGAACATGCATTAACACACACTTCACTTTGGGGCATGGAATATGCATTTCACATATGTTGTTATAAGATATGCATCTCACAAGAATTGCATGCGCGTCTTATTCGCTCTTGAATCATGCATAGCATATGCATTCGGTCTTAAATCATGCATGGAATCTGCATTCGCTTTTACGCATAGAATATGCTCCTGTTATCAATCAAGCATAGAATATGCTTCTTGATTGTTTGTTTCTTGCATAGAACATGTCATTAACATTGTATCTTAATTGTTTGTCTTGCATTGAACAATGCATTCGTACTGTATCACACTTGTTAAGTATCTTTCTTAGACATGCATGATATTGTATGTATGGTTCATTCAGAGGAGTTCCGGGTAAAATCATCTGTGCCCTTTGAATCGCTTCCTCACCACTCTTCCTCCTCTCGCATGAGATGCGTTAGGATCGCATCGGTTAAAAATATTTGGGTGCGTCTCGATGTTCACACCACCCCTCTGGTTAAAAACATTCAGGTGTGTCCCAGTGTTCACACTAACCCCTTTGGTTAAAAACATTCGGGTGTGTCCCGGTGTTCACACCACCCTTTGGTTAAAAACATTTGGATGTGTCCCAGTGTTTACACCACCCCTTCGGTTAAAAACATTCAGGTGCGTCTTAATGTTCACACCGCCCCTCCGGTTAAAAACATTTGGGTGCTCCCGGTGTTCACACTACCCCTCCAGTTAAAAACATTCAAGTGCGTCCCGGTGTTCACACCACCCCTTCGGTTAAAAACATTTAGGTGCATCCCGGTGTTCACACCACCCCCTTTTGGTTAAAAACATTTGGGTGCACGCAGTGTTCACACCATCCTTTTTCTCCTTCCACATGCAACGCGTTAGAATCTCGGTTGAGACCTCAGGTGTGCCCGACGATTATGTCACCCTTTGCCTTTTCTGTGCATCATGTAGTTAAGCTTTAATTTTCTTACATCCTTTTTGCATGAAATGTAGTTTGGGCTCGTGTTTCTCGCACGTGACGCGTAGTTTTTTTTTCGTGATTGGAATTGTTGTGCCTTGTTTTAGTTTGTTTAACTGTGGCATTTCTTTACATAGCATTTGCATTTAAATGTTTCATTGCGTAGCCTCATTGCATGATCATAAGTTATGTTCTTGCATCATGCATATCATTTGCATTTTGCCCCAGAACTACGCTGGTTTGATTCCTTACAAAGGGATACGTAGGCAGCCTACGGGCGCGACCATTTATTTCTATCTTGATTGTTTGTCCAAGTCTTATGGCCTTATCAAAATGGGTCGTCTCTGGCCTTTGACATTCGCGCACGTCATTTCATGACTCCGAGTTTTGTTAACAAGGGACAACTATAGACACCCCATTTTTGACGGCCCTTCAAGACTTAGATGTTCTTGCAGGTACATCCGATGATAAGTCTGTTTTCTCACCAAGCGCTCGAAATTCTCAACGGAACACCACAACTTTGAGCCTTTCAAACCCTGCGTCTATTTTGTCTCCTTTTTGGACTATGCCTTGGTCTTTCCATCCTACAATCTCTTGTGGCCTGCTGGTCATCCTTGGAGGTCATCGGCCATCATTTCTTGTCTATCGGCCATTGATGTGCCATACCGGCCGTCAATGATGCCATGTCGGCCACCACTGATGGCCGACTAACCACCAATGTTTTCTACAGATATTTTATGCCAGCTGTGCCAACTGTTTGCACAGATGCTTGCATCTGTCCACACGTGGAGGGCTAAATCTCTTTGTATAGATTTCATGTTTTCTATATATAGGGGCCCCCTCTCTCATGTTTTGGGGTTAAAAAATTTTAGACTCAAAATTTTCCTCTCTCTCTCTACAAATTTCCTACACTTTTGCCTACAATTCCTACACTCTTGCCTATACACCCTTAACCAACTCCTCTCATCTCTGAGCTGAGGTGTTCTTAGGCTTGGTTTAAGCTCTAGAATGTGGTATTTGCTTGGAATTGTTGCTTGGAATCACTCTTCTCTTCAAGAGGTATGATACTAGCTTTGTAGGCTTGCTTTACATACTTGTATTCCTATCTCTTTTTTTTTTATTTTTTTGGGCTGTTTTTGAGCTGTAGAAAAACCTATTTTTATGGGCTGAAATTGGTGTTTTTAGCCATTTAAGGTTAGGGGGTGGTTCATCCCTCTTTATTCCTTGTTTAAAAAGCCTTTGCACCTTTGTTTCCAATTTTCAAACCATCTTTTTTTGGGCTTTTAACCACTGAATTTCAGTGTGTTTTCAGTGGTAAAAATTATGTTTTGAAGTCCAAATTTGGAGGGATTAGCCTCCCCTCCTTGTGTCTTGTTTGCTAGCCTAGTTGGTGCCATGCTTTAGCTTATTTTTTTTAGCTTGCTGTAGGTTTATTTCAACATGTTTTAGCCTCTGATTTAGGCTCTTTTAACTCTATTTTGGGTTGGTTGTTGCATTTGAGTCTTGTATTGCATAGTTGTAGTATAATAGTCCTCACAAGCTTAGTGTTTTAGGCCATTAGACACCACTTGTTTGAGTTGATTTCTTGTTTTTGGTGCTTTTCACACTCAATTTTAGCACTAATTATCTCTGCAACCTCCCTCCTTTCTTGGCTTTTGATTTTGCTTTGAAAGTGGTTTCAAGTCACTTGTTTGCCTAAGTCTGAAATTAAGGTTTCATATTTAATGATTTAATCCCTTAGGGGGTTCATTACC